AAGCATTAATGTGGAAAGGCAGGGAATGATAACAGTTATCAAAGATACCCATATAGGGCCCTTAGAATGGATTGGTTACCTATTCATAACACAGGCCAAAAGCAACGACCGCGACGTTGGATCCAACGCACCCTAAGATAAGGGCGAGTATGGAAACATTATTGGTGGGTGGCAGGAAGTGATAACAGCTGATAAGATACCACGAGGAGCCTTAGAAGGGAAAGGTCACCAACTCTATAGCGCCGGCCACAACAGCGATGGGACGTTTGGTTCCAAGAAGTTAGATCAGGATCAGGATGGGACAATTAATACTGGGTGGCAGGATGGCAGAGGACGCCCCCCCGAAGTTCATAGCACGAGTTTTAGAGCACTGGGGGAACTGCTTCCGGCAAGTCATAGAAGGGGTAGCATTCGTGAAGGGATATAAGTTGTATATAGTGTGAGAAAAGGGCTGATAAGCACCAGTACCTGCTCGCATCCTTACTGCTCAGCCTTGGCTTGAGCACCGGTGCTCATGAAACAATGTGGGCAGAGACTTATGAGTCAACTTATTTCAGCCCTTAGCGATAGAGGTATGACTGATTCGAACGTTCAGCACCTCAGAGAGTCGACAAAAATTAAAAGCTTGGAAGCTGCTTAACGAAAGTACTAGGATGTGAGAATATATCACTATGGTGTCCATGTTGTTACCATCGAAATTCTTTCAACCGCTAGCTGTCCTATTTCCAACGAATGGTGAGTGCTCTTTAGAAATGTGATAAGCACCAGACATTAGCAAATGTTCATTAAACAGGAGAAACATAATGAAATGGGCCGTATTTCAAAAAATGGCGCTCGGGCCCAGTGTTCGGGGTCAGCACAGGAATCCTGTCAGCGATTAGTACCATTACCATAGATTCAACCATGCGCGCAGTAGTGCGCGTCAGCCAAGCTGGTTTTTTAAGATTTACCATCGGGCTTTGATGAAGTTCTACGAGAACAGCGCCTTATCCAACCAGGTATCTATTAGTTTCTTTAGCTCAAACCATTCAATGCATTAGTATCTATTTCCTCCCAACACTCCTGATTTTAAGCAAAAACATGAGAGAGTCGAAAGTATACTGTCGTCGTTACCAGTGAAAGTCCTTGTAAAACTTCCCCTTCCGCCATTTTCTCATGATCTCCTAGAGCCAATTCGTCAAAACATCACAAAGATACATCGAAATAAGGTGAGGTGATAACCCGGGTATATTAACCACCAAAGTCCTTTCTTATTCTGATACTGCTGTCTAATCGTGGTTATCATGTCCATGAACACAGTTTCAGCTAGAACGTTTCGCCATCACGTCAACGTCCGGGCCAACACTTACAGTTAGACGAGCTTCCATGAGTGGTTGGGATATTCGCTTCTATGATTAAATTATCTGATAATTAGAACATTTTAGCAGTTTGTTTTGAGGAGTGAATACAAGCGACCATGCTGGGATACGCCATGCAACCCTCGCATGTCAAACAAACAGTCGCATTGATCGGTTGGCTGAAGTCAAATGTCCTACTTAAAGGAAAAGCCCGTGATTATCCGTCATCATAGATAGTAGATTGGGGGTTTGCATATAGACGACGAGGTTCTGAGTGACTCAGTAGTGA